TCTTGCTAAATTTCATTAAAAGTTTTGTATAAAATTAGTTGGTGCGGCAAAATAACAATACTTATCATGCATGCTTCCTGCAAACATATTTTTCAAAGTGAATAAAGAGTATTGAACTTGTAGCAATTGAACGAAATAGGGTGTGGATGGATGAGTGTGCATGTATGGATGTGGATTGGGTCGAAGTGTTAGCAGACATTTATTCATCTACCCACACTACATCCACCCATACTCACTATCCACATTGGTCCACACCTACACACCCTTCAACGTTCATACATTCTCATATATCCAATTCATATTGGTGTGACAATGGTCAGGAAGAGTCTTTAAAAGATGTAGATAAAACGTGACGGAAACAAAATGAAATGTAATTATTGGAGAAAAAGTTTCGTCTTCTCTCATGGACCATATCCATTAATTTGCAATGAAGAGTTTGTAGTTATATCTAGCAATACATGAAGACACAGGAAACTTTTGAATGTGCATCAGGGACCGAAAAAAAAATGAAAAATTGACCGTTCGATTTAATTCAATTCTGTAGAACGTGTAATATGTTGAAACCTTCATAGGGGCACATCAATTCTTTTGTGCTACGCTCTTCCTTATTCAGAATGTTCGTTGTATTGTTGACTGACTCTTTCTTGTAAAAATTACGTTCAATAAACAGCACTTTTTGTCAAAACAATTTTGATTGACAGCTAATGTACAAGAATATCCAATGATAATTTTCTCTCTCCTGTTTCAAATGAGTAAATATGTCAAAGTGAACACTGGTCATTTGGATATGGCGTAGTGATCGGTGGAGCTCAAGACACCTTTAACGATTGAATGGGATAAGTCGGTCACTAATGATCAGTAATGCAACTGTACATGTAACCTGTTTTTTACAATTTGTAGCATCACTGGCTCAGCTACCTCAGTAAGATATCAATAAGCACAGAATGCGTACTGGTGAGCCACCGTATGTACGGCTACTCATTTGAGTGATTATGCATGAGAGTAAGAAATTTTCGAAATTTATTTCGTAAGAGAACAATATAAAAATTCAAAGTGTTTGATGATGAGAGGATCGAGACAATTCGAAACAATTTATCGCTACAATATTCTACTTTTTTTTCGAATACCCCTTTAAATTCATTTCACCATAGTGCTGACTTTACGACAAAATATTCTAACGACCTGAAATTAACACTGTAGCAGAAGAACACTTTATGTGGAAGATTGAAATCATGTCCTTCATACCTCGAATAACGATCTCGATGATCTATGATGCTCTAGATGAGATGATTTTTTTGCTGTTTCACAAGTCTTTAGTTTATTTTCTAGATTTATCAAAATCAAGAGAGCAGATCTGATGAGTTCAATCGATATAGCTCGATTCTATGCGATTCAATTACACTTGATTCAATCGAATCATACCGAATTAAATCGTCGACAGTTTTACTTGGTTTCGGTCTCTGATGAACACAGTGATTTTTCATCAAATATAAGTTTTTGAAAAAATAAATTCGATTATCAGACCATTAGAGACCGTCTCTCTGCTTTGAAACATTGCCTAGACTTCATCTAAAGCTTAAGTGCTTCGAGTTCTATATCGGATTCTATGTCCGACCTAAACTATTTGCTTTGTTTACATAAATGTTCTATGATAACAAATAGCGACGAACACTCCAACTACAACTACAGTGACGACTACAACAACAACTATAAGCACCACTCAGCAACTAGGTAAGCATTATATTAACCCTTCTTAATCTTGGCTAGTGCTAAGTTTTAATAAAGTTTATATAGTTCCTTTGTATGCAATATTACTCTGCAGTCAGCTATAGGCGATATTGATCAGATCAGAGATCTTATATTATGAATGACTCAATCTTTGTCATTAGAGAAAAATCAGTTCATAGTAATACCAATATTGGTTATTCTTCGTTACTATCGAAGTTTGCTGCATATTGTTGATATCTCTGAATGAATTTCAGTTTTCTTTATCCTCTGATATTACTACATATGGTTCCTTTGAACAATAAAATGCTTCACTTTAACTCGAAAGGAGCATTTCATTCAGAGCTTTGATTGACAAGTTCACAGAGAGCTTCGTTTTAGTTTCCAGGAAACAGTAAACATTTCAGTGTTGAATGATATAAGACTAATCAAAAACTTGTTAGTTGATCATTTAGGAGAAGAATCAGAATAGATCCATGGAAAATTTTGATTGTTGTGGGCGTTTTATGCCTGTTACTTACTGCATACAAATCAACTAAGGATACTTAGCATTTGCAGAAACATACTGACTCGTACCGTAAATAGTTTTCAATAATGATTTTAAAAAAATGAATAAAATATTGAAATAAGTTAAAAATATCAGAGCATTCGTTTTGTTGAAGATTCGATATAGGCAGCACAAACATAAAATTCACGGATGAGAGTTCATGAACTGAAACTAGTCCGGCTACGAAAGTATAACTTCGACGATCTCTTTTCACTCTACTCAAATCGATTTTCAGACATGACTACGAACAATGAGGTTGCTTCAAAGAAAAGCCTGCGTCTCGACTGTTCACTTGAAAGACTTCATGGTTTTCGTAGAACAAGGGGTTTCACACAACCAATCATCTTCTTTCTTCTATAAGCCATTAGTTGATCGAGGACATCTATTTTAAATCTGTTCTCACACTTCTCAGAATAAGGTGTTTCTTCGTCTATCATCATTTTTTTTCTTGTTGCATCTTGAACGTGTTTAAGATGCTTCTCTTCATCTTCACCCACACTCTTAAAGCTCTCTGCTCGAAAGAGATATCTTGTGTTCTTGAGACTCTAGTTTTCTTTGATTTTCGAAAGCTTTTCGAATTCTTGATTTCGTTTGAATCTTATTATAATTTGTACTTTTTGAATGCCTTTTAAATCTTTGATTCCTCTCTTCCTTTTCTTTTTCTGTATTTCTTGGGAATCATTATGTTTTCTCGATTCTCAGAAATTGTTAGGCTCTCTGAACTCACACGATACTGTAAAGTTTTTTGAATTCTTTCAATTCCTTCCTTTGTCCGCGAAATCTTTCGAAATCATAGATTTCTTGCAGTTGTCAAACAACTTGGATCCCTTCGATAGTTTGAGTTGCTTAGATTTGTCAGAGTCTTCGGGTTTATAAGATTCTTCAGGCTTTTTAGATCGCTTAAGTTCATTTAAGTCCTTCTATTGCCCACATTCCTTAGTCTTCTTTACAAAAAAAAGCCAAATTTTCATATAATCTTGTTCCAATGAAAGCATTTCTTCCTTACTGAACCTGGTTTTTTTTGAAAGAATAAACTTACAAACAAAAAAATCTATTTGAGTTTATCTCTTACTGTAATACAGTACCGCTGGAGATGCATCATAGAACAGCTACTGTAAGAAAAGCCTGCCGAATTGTGAGAAGCACGCATAGCTTACCGATGGTGCATTCGTACAATGATCTCTCCGATTTTAAATTATGCAACACTTGAACATCAGCTCTACAATTATGAGCAAATTTATTTCATGAATCGCCGAGCTCTATCGATCACTTCTATTATATGAACATACCAGATATGAAAATTTATTCTGATTCCTTAGCAGGCTGTTTCTATTGTCTGTCTGTTTAACTCATTTATATACCATTTTTCTCAAAGTTTAAAGTTGATTTTGATCTACCTGTCATGTAGCTTAGTTATCGTTATATATTTTCGATTCATGTTTCTAATACTTGTTAAATCATGACAGTTTTCTAGATGCCTTTTTTCATTCTTATCGTATTAAGAATCTGTCGCTGATTTATTTGATGATCTACTTTTCTTAGAGCTATTGAAATTCTATTGTATTTTAATCTCGACATGAAACAACATATTTAAGTTTAGCTAATTTTTTTTTATCGTCTTCCAAATGAGTAAAGCGTTCTGTTTGAATAGAATCGATTGATTCGGGGTGTGGGTGTGTGGTGTGCGTTTGACCCCATCAGACACCCACATCTGCACCCACTCACACCCATACCCACATTCACCCACACCCACACCCACATTCCACACCCACTGTCAAAAGAGAAAAACTTGGAACGGTGTTGATGTTGCAAAAATTCAAATGAACTTTTCACTTTTTTCTCTCTTATTAATCATTTTATCCTCTTCTTTCTCCATTTGAGTTCCATTATGTAGAAGTTGCATTGACATTCCTCTGAATGCTAAATGGCAACAAAATGGTATCGCTGTGGCTGGAGGAAATAGATGGGGCAATGGAAGCAATCAACTCTGCTACCCATTGGGTTTGTTTGTTGATGATGATCAAACAGTTTATGTCGCTGATGAGGTGAATCATCGTATTGTGGAATGGAAATCGGGTGCGACGAGTGGCCAAGTGGTTGCCGGTGGAAATGGCGAAGGAAATGGGACTCATCAATTGCATCACCCAAAAGATGTCACTGTCGACAAAGAGACAGATAGTATCATCATCTGCGACCGTTCGAATGGAAGAGTAGTTCGATGGCCTCGTCGCAATGGAACAAGTGGAGAAATAATCATCTACATCTGGTGTGTGGGTTTGACAATGGACGAGAATGGATCTCTCTATGTCACTGATGATGGAAATCAAGAAGTGAGACGATATCAAAGAGGAGAATCTCAAGGAACAGTGGTTGCAGGTGGTCTTGGCTCTGGAAGTCTCTTTGGCCCCACGTACGTATTCGTCGATCGAGATCATTCAGTATACGTATCGGATAGCTACAACCATCGTGTGATGAAATGGGCAGATGGTGCAAAACAAGGCATTGTCGTGGCTGGTGGTCAAGGAAAAGGAAATAATCTTACACAATTGTCAAATCCTCAAGGAGTCGTTGTCGATCAATTGGGTACTGTCTATGTGACTGACTGGGGGAATCATCGAATCATGCGTTGGCCCAAAGGAGCCACACACGGAAGTGTGATTGTCGGTGGAAACGGTAATGGAGGACTATCGGACCAACTCTTTTATCCCGTCGGTTTGTCATTCGATCGACATGGTAATCTCTATGTCGTCGATTATTGGAATCATCGAGTACAAAAATTCAATATTGAATAAACACAATACGATGCTTAATTTTATTTTTTTTGTTCTCTTTCTCTTACAAATAAACCACGATTGCATGAAAAAAAAAAGAATTCATGGCTATTCTATTCGGGGTGTGGAGTGTGGGTGTAGGTGTGAGTCTTCTATTTATCTACACTGTCACCCCACCGTCTTTATCAATTCGTTTATGGTAATGTATCAAAATGAACTTGTCTGCACTTGTTCGATTCCATCGTTCCGTCAAATAATCGCTTGGGACAGCTCGTTCTCTTCGTCTATTCGTCAACGGCTTCCAATCTATTTTTTTCCTGCTTGTCTTTCGCCTTTCTTCGTCGAATCGATCTTTGCCGATGTGATTTCATCAATTCGCGATTGACTTCGCTTGCATTAATTTCTCTTTTTCAATTCACTATACCAACCTGTCGAAATAAACTCGTAATCTGTTCGTCTCTAGAATTCTCATTGCAACTGTTTTGCCAACATGTATCAAGTGCTGCATTTCCAAACCAAGATGGAAATTTCAATATGTCAGTCAAGCGAACTATAGGTAGATAGTCGAAATAAATTGGATAATGCCAAAAACGAATTTCTTCTACACTGCTGTTCTTTTCAAGAGTGTAGACATCAAAGTGAATTGAATATGGATGATTATTGATCACATCACTTTCATTGAAATAGCGCCATTGCTTATGTGCAAGCATTTCGGCGGAACGCAAATAGAGAAGACAAAATTTATGTTTGATGATCTGGGCTCTTCTCAATATTGGAACAATATGTACAGTACTGGAAGCCTAAATGAAGAAGAGAAGAATCATCAAATTGGATAAATATCGAAAGTTTATTTCACAAAGCAAAAGTTTTCAAGAACTCAAGTCAAAGTTTTGACCTAAGAATGAAAGGAAATTGTATGTGTAATAAGCACTTACTACGAAATCTTCTTTCAACAGTCCATGATTCAGTTGTTGAATAATCAACTTGTATTAACGCTTTCTCAGACAGGACAAAATAACCCTCTTTCCCTTTTGCATCGATAGCCCACGCTGGAAGGCAGAATGGCCCTGTTCAAGACTCGTGAACGAACTTTAAACCTGAGAAATTTGAAGCTCACGCGGTCTTATTGACGAGACCTCGAGCTACACAAATTCGATCGCTTTCGATCGAAAAAAAATCCATTGTTGCTTCTTAAAATCAACTGAAATTGAAATTTTCATATTCTTTTGTTCCTTCAGTCACAACTAAACGATCGTCAAAGCCACACTTTGCTCTCTAATTTAGTTCCGAAAAAAATATCCAAACTGCAAGATATCTCTATTTTGAATATCAATGAGCATGTTTTTTTTAAAGCGTAGATGTCAATGCTGTAATTATATCAATTTGAAAAAAATATAATCTTTTATTTTTTGTCCTTGAATCGTTGTTATATTGAGCTGTAGCGTATCAATATTAATTTTTGAAATATATGTTGCGGAAAAATTATCCGCCCATGATAAAACATAAAATTGTCTTTTTTCAAAATCGGTGGAAAATGGTTTATAACCATGAGCGATTCTTTTACCATACGGTGTTATTGTCACATTTTTTATTTGTTTTCCACTTTTTTCATTTATTTTAATACATACCATAGGTGAAATTATACTATATTGCCATAATGCAATTAAACCAACTGATTTAATATAACCAAAACCATAGACATCATAATTAAAATTTTTCGAGCTGACAACAATTTTACTTGCATTATTGGATAAATCTAATGTAATTAGAACTGTATGATCTTTCTTAAAATTATGCGCATGATAGGTAAATAATTGGTTTTCAGAATCGAAATAACTTCCAGGCATTGATGCACCACTATCAGTGAGTTCGATTATATTTCTTTTTACGTTTAAAGTTTCTGTATCGATTTCTACTAAATATTGCGAATTAGTGTCGTTGTGTATAATTGCATATAATTTATAAGTTATGATATTATACTGTATTTGGTTAATCATAAAGTCTTGGACTTGTTCAGTCTGATCAACCTGATTTGATTTTGAATTATATTTAAAAAACTTTGATATACCATATAATGTTTGTTCCATGATAAAATAGAGATTTTTATTGACAAAATCATATGTGTAAGTGTCAATACGATTTTGTAATGATTTACTATATTTCGGTGGATAATTGGTTACTTGAAATGTTGTTAAAGTGCGTGAACGATCGCCGGTTGTTTCATTCCATGTTCTGATTGAAGAATCATCAATTGTAATCCATTGTGATGAAATAGAACACATAAATAGAGATAACAGATATGCTCTGCGCAAGCATCCAGCCATGCTTGTTGTTTTTTCTGTATTCTAAACGTATGACAGGTTTGGCTTTCACCCGTGCATTATTTTTGTTATCAGTGCACGAAACGAAAGGCGTCTCCCGAGTGCAAGTTTCTCGCATTTCATATTCGTAAAACAACACGTTCTTTATAGAGCAATAGATATGAGGCGATGGAATGAGTGTGGGTGTTGATGAATAAACTCACACCGACACCCAAACCCACACTTACACCCTACATCCACACCCATGCCCATACCCACACCCACATCCATACCCTTCAGGAGTCAAAAGGAATTACTTTAGAAAATATAACAAGTATAAAACCTCACCGAAATACTTGTAAGGACTTAGGTCTATATTTTACGAAATTTAGAAGAACCTATTATACAAACAAGATTATTTGATACAATGTTGCACTCGAAACAAGACGCAACGTTTGACTTACCAGGGAACCTTTCCGAGTGATTCAGAGCTTTCGAGCTGATATTTGCCTATAAATAGAACCAAATAAGACTAGAAGACACCCAAAAGTATAAGAGCCCATGTGACTTCCTTCAATAGTTATGACCATTTTACTGACTTTCGTTCTATCAACGGTATCGACCGTAAAAGATTGAATGATGAAGTTTCGAGCTCTAATTATCTCCATATATAGGTCTCAACGCCTTTAGAATATGTTACAAGTT